TAAAAGGAGGAAAAATCGGGCAGAAAAGGGCAGAAATTGGGGGATAAAAGGAGGAAAAGTCAGGCAGAAAAGGGGGAAAATTAGGCAGAAAAGGGCAGAAATTGGAGGATAAAAGGGGAGAAATCAGGCAGAAATTGGGGGGTAAAAGGTGGAAAATCAGGGATAAAAGGGCAGAAATTGGGGATCAAAAGGGCAGAAATTGGGGGATAAAAGAGGGATATAAAAGGGGTGAATTTTGGATAAAAGAGGATTTGGGGGATTAAAGAGAAGAAATCGGGGCCACAAAAGGGCAGAAATAGGATTAAAGGAGAGAGACCAGGAGATAAAAGGAGAATTTGAGATAGGAGGAGAAGTCGGGGGGATTAAAGAGAAACTGGATAAAAAGGGGAGAAATCGGTCAGAAAAGGGGAAGAAATTGGGGGATAGAGGGCACAGGTGGGATTAAAGGAGAGAGATTGGGGGATGACAGGAATTTGGGATAAAAGGGGAGAAGTGGGGGGGATAAAAAGGAGCAAAGTCGGGGTTAAAAGAAGAGAAACCAGGGGATAAAATTGGGTGAAAATGTGGTGAAAATGAGGGAATAGAGAGGCAAAAATTGGGGGGCTAAGAAAGGGGAGAACTCTCGGGATAGAAGTGGCAGAAGTTGGGGTAAAAGGGGTGAAGTTGGAGGATAAAAAGGGAAGGTGGGATAAAAGGGGAGAAGAGAGGGGATAGAAGTGGAGAAGTTGGGGGATAAAACGGTGAAATTGGGGGACAGAGGGGGAGAAGTTCAGGAATAAAAGGGAGAAACTGGGACACAAAATGGGAGAAATGGGGGGATAAAAGGGCAAAAATGGGGGGACAAAAGGGTCCCCTCACCCATTTTCAGGGGCCCTCTTGCGCGCCGCGTGCTGTTTGAGGATCTTCTGGTGCTCGTCGTAAGCCGTCAGCAAGCTGCGGGGGGGAAGCAGGGAGAGCTCAGTGTGGGGGGGAGCGACATGGGGGCGACCAAGGCCCTTTTGGGGCCACCGCGGTGCTTTTTGGGGTGTCTTTTCCCCCCGTCCCTGGATATCCAACCTGTGTATGCTGGAGCCGAAATCCTCGAGGAACTCGACGCGGCGTTGGGAGAAGATGAGTTTGGCTTCATCGGGGAGGGGGCTGCGCAGCGCCCGCTCGAAGCAGCTCATGGTGTTGCCTTCGTTTTGTCGGACGTCGGCCCCGAATTCCATTTCCAGGAGGTTGGCGTGGAGGCGGGCGTTGTCCTGCACCCACCGCCGCGTCAGATTTGGGGGGGGGGGGGGAGTCACCCCCCCAAAGGGGTTTGGGGAGCCCCCCCATGAGGTTCTGGGGTCCTCAGTGGGGTTTGGAGAGCCCCGAGGGCATCCGTGGGGTTCCCAGTGGGACTGTGGGATTCCCCAGGGTCAGGGGAGGGTCCCCAGGGGGGTTTGGAGAGGGCCCCCCATAAGGTTATGGGGTCCCCAATGGGGTTTGGGGACCCCTGAGTGGGGCTGTGGGGTCCCGAGAGGGTTTTGGGGAGCCCCCAAAGGGTCTGCAGGGTCCTGAGAGGGTTTTGGGGAGCCCTCAGTGGGTCTAAAATGTCCCAAGGAGGGTTTGGAGAGCCCCAAGTAGGTTTGTGGGATCCCCCATGGGGTTTTGAGAATCCCCCCAATGAGGTTATGAGAAACCCCAGTGGGGTTTGGGGACCCTTGAGTGAAGCTGTGGGGTCCTGAGAGGGTTTTGGGGAGCCCCCAGGGGGTCTGCGGGGTCCTGAGTTTTGGGGGACCCCAAAGGTATTTGTGGGGTCCTTACTGGGGTCTGGAGAGCCCCAAGGGCATCCATGCGGCCCCAGGTGGGATTTAGGGAGCCCTCAGTGGGTTTGGGGGCACCCGAGCCGGATTTATAGAGCCCCCATGGTGTTTGTGGGGCCCCCCAATTGGGGTTACAGAGCCCCGCAACGAGTTTTGTGGGGCCTCTGAGAATTTCTAGAGCCCCAAAGGGGGTTTGTGGGGTGATCGAGCCCCCAGTGGGGTTTGTGGGTCCCCAAAAAAAGTTTTACAGGGTCTGTGGAGCCTCCGGCTCCCCGAGACGACATCCAAGCGATGACACTGTTTTCAAGGGAGCTGAAATCCCGTCCCACTCTCTCCCCTGCCCTGCCCCGCCCCCGGTGCTCGTTAGAAGTACCCTAACGAGCCTTTCCGCCTCACCGGATCCTTTTCCAGGGCATCCACCAGCACTTTGCGAGCTTTGCCGAGGTTTTTCTGCACCTTGCAGGCTTGCCGAGCCAATTTGACGGCGTAGAAGGAAGCGAGGGGCAGCCCTTCGTTAGCGTGCATGGCTTCCAACAGCAACGCCTCCGCCTCTTCCAGGTTTCCCTGTCGTCGTTCCAGGCTGACGCGGCGTAACCGGACCATCGCCAAACCTGGCACTACCTCCTCGAAGCAGCGCAGGATACGCCGGGCTTCATCCAAATTCCCTGGAGAGGGCAGAGATGTTGGGGGGGGTCCCACAGGCAGCCTCGTTGCCTCCCGGTAAATCCGGTGGCAAGAGAAGATGGGATTTAGGGATAAATTAAAGCGGTTTGGGCTTCTTCCCAGTTCACTGTGGGGCACAGATGGGGATGGGGGCAGTTATGGGGTCCCCGGGGCAGCTACCACCCTTCGCTTGCAGCCCCGTTTCTTCTCGTTAAAGCAGTGGTAACGTGGAACAGGTTTTGGGGCTAAATAAAGCGGTTTGGGTTTCCTCCAGGTGCCCTGCAGGGCACAGACAGGGATGAGAGCGGTTATGGAGATCCCCAGGTTGCGTTTTGGGGTGAAATGTGGCTCTTCTGCCCCAACACGAGAGTGTTTAGGAGTGAAATGCAGCATCTCAGCCCCAAAAAGGGGAGTATTTGGGGGTGAAATGCTATGTGTCGGCCCCAAACTGGAGCATTCCAGGGTGAAACGCAGCCCCTTTGCCTCAAAATGGAGTGTTTGGGGATGAAATGAGGACTCTGCGCCCCAAAAAGGATCATTTTGGGGTGAAATGTGGCCCCTCTGCCTGGAAAAGGAGTGTTTTGGGGTGAAATTTGATGTCTTAGCCCAAGAATGGAGCACTTTGGGGCAAAATGCAGTATCTCAGGCCAAAAACGGAGCATTTGGGGATGAAATGCATCTTCTCTGCCCCAAAACAGAAGCATTTGGGGATGAAATGCAGTCCGCCAGCCGAAGGAGGGAGTGGTGTGGGGTGAAAAGCAGCCTTTTCGCCCCAAAACAGAGCATTTTGCACTGAAATTTGATGTTTTGGCACAAAACCAGAGTGTTTTGGGGTGATGTATCTCATTTCATCCCCCCAAAAAGCAGCAATTTGGGGAGAAATACAGTGCCTCAGCCCAAAAACGGAGTGTTTGGGGGCAAAATGCGGCCTCTCCACCCAAAACGGGAGTGAAATGTGGCATCTTAGCTCAAAAATGGGGCTGTTTTGGGGCCAGCCATGGCCTTGCGCCCCAAAAAGTCCCGTTTCAGATCCCGCCGCCCCTCCCTGCACCCCAAAAATTGTCCGTTTTGGGGCTACTTCACCTTGTTTCTCCTCGAAAGCAGCCCAGAGAAGGTGGATGTTGGGTTTTCTGGGCAGATGATAACCACACGCTCGCTGAAAAACGCTCCTGGCTCCTGTCACTGTGTGATTTTCCAAATACTTGGTGTACTGCAGGAAAAAAAAAAGGCGGAAAAAGGGGGGGGGAACAGACAGACGGACGCATGAGCATCCCCCCGCCGCCCGGCCGGGCGGGGATGTGCTAAATCGGGTGGGGGGCACTCACGTTAAGACCCCTCTCTTCCGAATTTCCTGCGCCCTCTTAGGCAGGGGGAAGGTGCCGTGGGCGGGTAAAAAAGCAGCAGCGGAATTTAAAAAAAGGGTGTTAGAATGGTGGTTTTTAGAAGAAAAAGAGTTAAAAACAGCCCCCGCCATCCGTCGGGGGGTGTAAAGGGGGATTAAAAAAAACAAACCCCCAAACGAACCTGGTTTTCTCTTGGGGTGAGGTTTTTTCTTTTGGGGGATT